GGCGCACCTGTACCCGGGGGCCGTGCTCCTCCAGCCGCGCGCCCTGGCCGAGCGTCGAGGCCGGGCAGCCCGGGAGCGGGGCCTCGTCACTTCCCTGGGGCGCCCATGCCCGGCCCGGTGCCCAGCGAAGAGCAGACGAAACTCGCCCGGAAGATGCGCGAGGCCGGCTGGAAACACCCGTTCGGACAGTGTGGCTCGCTCGCGGCGCTGGGCTCCGCTCCCCGCGGGGCGAGAAGCCGCCCCCGCCCCGCGCCCCGGGGGTGCTGCCCTGTCCCAGACGGCTCCTACAGCCCTGGGGCACCTCACTCCGCGCATGGAAAACTTGAGCTCCTCGCGCCCAGGTCTGGCCCACCGCCCGAAGCCCCTGTCTCCTCCCACTCCTTGCGGCTCCCACACACCTCTCCTGCCGTCCTTGAGCCCGGCCCTGCTCAGGCTTCTCCGTCCCTAAGACGCCTCCCTTCTCCCTTGCAAGCTCTCTCCTGAAAGCCACCCTCTCAGCTGCCTCCTTTCCAAAACAAAGCTTGACCTGTCAACGTGGAAAACAACCTTCAGTGACAATGTGGCGAGGCACGCCCATAACCCCCGGCGCTCTGGGAGGCTCAGGCAGGAGGAGCGTAAGTTTAAATGGAGCTTGGGCCACTTAGTGACTTAGCAAGACCTTGTCTCAAAATAAACAAGATTGTTTAAACGCTGGGGATTTAGCTCAGGGTGAAGGTCCTGGCTTCAATCTCCAGTACCACCAAAGTCAACCAAACAAAAAACTTCAAGATCCCGCCCCTTCGGCAATGAGACCAACTCAAAGAGCTCAGGCACTCCTGGGTGCTGGAGCCACTTCTGCAGCTGACATTCTTCCCGCCCAAAGCGCCGGACAACTCTTCAGTTCCCAGGGGCCTGTCGTACTTGGCTGTTTCTGCTTGACCTTCCTGACCCTCACTGTGGTGAGCTCAGGGTTTGGAGACCTAGGTGAACCCTGCTGTGGTCACTCAGCAGCGCATTCAGTGACTTGGGCCTAGTTACTCGGAGATCGGTCTCCTGGCCCCTACAGCGGGCCAGAAGGGGTCTCTGGGGTCCTCTTGGGGTAAGGAGGTTCTCACGGGTGCACGCCAGCCCTGGGCATGAGTATGGTATGACATGGGACAGGGTCCTCTGAGCTTTTTTCACATACTTATAAGAATGACTATATTTAGCTGGGAGTGGTGGCACACGCCTGTAATCTCAACACTCAGGAGGCTAAGGCAGAAGGATCGCCACAAGTTCAAGGGCAGCCTGAGCTACATAATGAGTTCAAGGCCAGCCCGCACTACTTAGTGAGACCCTGTCTCAAAAAACAAAACACAAAACAAAACAAAACAGACTATATTTGGATGGCGCCCTGGAGAAGCCCAGGGCTGGGGTACAGGTGTGCATCACTGCCCCCAACTCGAGGCTCCTTACTGACTTCCTCTCCAGCTACCTGGGCCACGTCCTGCACGGTTGGGTGTGACGTGCGTCTGTTTCCATGGTCTCCAGATATTTTGATTGCTTTGATTTCTTCTTGGACCCACTGGTTGTTCAGGAGTGTGTTTAATTCCCAAATTTTCTCCTGCCACTGATCTTGTTCCACGGTGGCCAGAAAAGGTACCCCAATAAGAGTCCAAACTTCTCAGAGGCATTAAGATGTGCTCTGTGGCCTAGCATGGTCTGTCCCGGAGAAAAGAGGGTCAGTATTCTGTTGCTGCAGGGTGGAATGTTCCGCAGGAGCCCTTACGTCCTTTTAGGGTTTTTCTGGTCACTCTTGGGGTTCTCTGTCTGGATGGCCCAGCCGGTGTTGAAACTCTGGCTCTTATTACACTGCTGTATACGTCACCCTTAAAAACTGCTGTGCATATTTGCTGTATATATTTTGGAGCACCGACTGATGCTGGGCACACACCTATTTACACTTGTTCCGTCCTCCTGGTGAATTAACTGCCTTTTCATTTTCTCTTGTGATGGAGGCTTTTGACATTAAATTTTTTATGGAACAAAAGTAGATGAACATGGATGTTTAATTCACAAAGCAGCTCTTCAGGCAAGGTCTTGTGACAGTTTCTGACTTAAAGGCCGTTTTTTTTTTTTTTTTTCTGATATGAGCACAGCCCTCACGTTCTCTTTGGGTTACCATTTGCATGGGATGTTATTTTTTCTATGCCTTCACTCAGTCTGTGAGTGAGTCTCCTGTAGGCAGCGTATAGTTTGGTCTTGTTCTGTTTTAAAAATCCATTCAGTCTCCTATTATCTTCTTTTGAAATTTTTTCTTTTCTTTTTAAAAAAAGCCATTCAGCCACTTAGGTCTTTTTTTTTTTTTTTTGTACTGATGATTGAACAGAGGACTCCCGCTGAGCTACATCCCTCAGCCTATTTTTATTTTTATTTTGAGGCAGATTCTCTCTAAGTTACTAAATTGCCCAGCCTGGGTTTGAACTTGAGATTCTCCTGCCTCAGCCTTCCAGAATGCTGAGATTACAGGTATGTACCACTAGGGCTCACTGATGTCTTTTGACTGGAGAATTCAATGTATTTAGTTAAAGTAATTACTGCTATATGAGGACTTAGTACTGACATTTTGTTTAATTCCTTTTGGGAGAGGTACACATCTTATTCTTGTATCTATTTTAAACTGATAAAAATGTAACTTTTACCACATACAAAAATTCCACACTTTTAACTTCTTCCTCACCCCCATTTTGTCATCAGTGCCCCAACTACAGCTCTTATATACTATATATCCATGAACACATTATCGTAGCTATAGTGATTTTTAACACTTTTAACATACTAGGTGAAACTGCTTCACCTTCAGCCTTTACAGTATGGGAATATTTTTAATTTGTATTCTTATCTTTATAGAGACTGATACTTTCATATGCTTTCCTGTTGTTAACATCTTTTTATTTCAATTTGAAGGCCTCCTTTTAGCATTTCTTTCTTTTTTGTTTTCTTTCTTGAGACAGGGTGTCACTATGCAGTTTAAGCTGGTCTTGAACTCACTGTGTAGCCCAGGCTGGCCTCGAACTGACAGTGATCCTCCTGCCTCAGCCTCCCGTGTGCTGGGATTACAGGCTTGCACCACTACGCCCAGCTAGCATTTCTTATAAACTAAATCTACTGGTAAAGCCCCGCAGTCTTTGTCTAAGAAAATCTTTATTTCTCCTTCGTTTCTGCAGGGCATCCGTGCTGAGCATGACAGTGTTGGTGGCGAGTTTTCCGTGCTGCATTTCTGGCATTCTGCTCCTTCCAGGGCCGCAGGGTCTTTCCTGAGAAGCATGCTCTCGGTCTTCGTGCTTTGCTTGCATGAAACAGTCACTCTTCTCTTACTGCTCTAAAATGCTCTCTTTTGTCTTTGACTTTTGAGAATGTGATTAGAATGTGTCACGTGTAGTCTGTGTGGGGCTCTGGATATACATTTCCACGTCTAGATTTGGGAAGTTTCTTTGAGCACACTTCTTCCCCTGGTCTTTCCCCGCTTCTCCCGGGCTTCCGTGTGCCCATCTGGGTTTGCTTAGTTTTCGTTTTTGTTTTTTTGGTTTTTCTCCGGTACTGGGACTCGAACTCATGACCTTGCGCTTGCCAGGCAGGCGCTGTGGCGCTGAGCTAAATCCCCAGCCCCTGGGTTTGCTTAGTGATGTCGCCTTGTGAGGCTACTCACCAGATTCGAAGGCAGAGCCAACGTGGGCCCCGCTCAGGACGCTACAGTCTCCCTGCGGGGGGCTCTGCTCTCCAGGCTTCAGTGCCCATGGAGATGCCCCTGCTCAGAAAGGACTGACCCCTACGACAGAAGGACAGCAGAGCCTGGTTCCTTAGCGCGAGTCCCAAAGGCAGATCAAAAAGCAAGAGTGCCAGCAGGACGGAGTCCTTACAGGTGAACGGAGGGCTCGGCCTCCAATGTCGCTGCTACCAGAGAAGGTGCGGGGCCTCCCGCTGTGAAGCTTGCTCTCTGCTGCAGCACTGCACTAAGGCTGTGCGTGGAAGACGGGACAGTCTGGGTGCCGCGGAGCTATAACCTAGCGCGTGCCCGGACATGGAGAGGCCACCTGCCCCGTTCCACAGCAGGCCAGAGGCGACTGTCCCGCCCACAGCCCCCGCCACACCACCAGCCGCAGGACTCTCGGTCCACTCCCTGGCTGGCGCGTGTGAAAGCTCTATCTCTGCGCTGATCAGGACGGAGCAGTGCTGACAGGGTCACCCTAAGCAGGGTGGATCCGTTCTCCCACTGAGAAAGGAAAGTGGCGGGGAATGAAAAGATCTAGAGCTCGTCTCAAAACAGGGAGGCCAGAAGAGACATCTAACACTGGACATAACAATGCACTCTACCTGTATTATTGAGAAATGTCTGGGGAACTTCCAGACGATGAGAACAAACAGCTAGAGCACGGCTGAGGGTGGGACGGGGCAAAGTGATGCACGCACCCCAAACGCTCTCTGCTCTACGCCTTCAGTACCACTGGACCTGAAAAGTAGAAGCACGTATTTTGAAATGAAAAGAAATGTTGATGTATAGAAGGAGAGAAGGCTGAGCTTAACCTAGGGAATGGCCTTTTATTTTTATTTTTCTAATTTTTTTATTTTTTCCGGTACCGGGAATCGAACTCACGACCATGTGCTTGCCAGGCAGGCACTGTGCCACTGAGCTAAATCCCCAGACCCTTGGGAATGGCCTTTTAGTGATAGAATCTTAGACTCTGTGAGCCAGGCGTGGTGGTGCGTGCATGTAGTCCCATAGGCTGGAGGCTGAGGCAGGAGGATTGCAAGTCTGAGGCCAGCCTGGGCTTTGTAGCAAGTTGAAAACCACCAGCCTGGACTACACACTGAGATCCTGTGTCAAAAAACTAAAAAAAAAAAAAAAAAAAAAAAATTTTTTTTTGAGAGCGAGTTTTGCAAATGCCTGTTTTATTAACCTACCTGTATGCAATAGGTGGGCACATTTCCTTGTTTCGAAGGCGTCTCTGCAATGCCTTCTAGCAGAACACCTTCCTTGTTTCCTTCTGTTTCTCTGTTAAGGGAAGTGGTCTGGCGAGGGAGGAGCTCTCGAGTGTCTCTAGGGGGTACCTGGACCCTGACTTCACCGGGAGTGTGTAGCAGCCCCAATCACACTCAGGGATGACACTGCTTCAGGGACAGTGATGACAGTGACGTGTCCCTCTCGCCGAGCTCCGCCCCAGGCTGACTCCTGGCTGGTCTGCTGTGAATTCCTCTGGATCATAAGCCTGCGGGTAGTAGGGGCCTGGTCCGTGGAAATGGAAGATGACCCATCGTCGCCTGCGGAGTCACGCGGGCTTGGGCTGAGCCTGCACTGGTAACTGCGACGGCGAGTGGATGCTTTTTTTGTTTTTGTTTTTGTTTTTTGTCTTTTTGAGACAGGCCTTCACTATAGTTCAGCCTGGCCTTAAATTCACTTTGTCACCAGGCTGGGCTTGAACTCCCAGCAATCCTCCTGCCTCAGCCTCCTGGGTGCTGGAATTATAGGCCCGTGCCACCGCATCTGGCTGGCGAGCAGATACTTAGTGTGAGGGTTTTAAGGGCCCGTATTCTCCAGCCCAACTTTGGCGGACAGTGGCTTCCATCCAGGGGCTACAGGGCTTCAGTGCTGCTTTGGGCCTGTGTCTGATCATTTAGAGAGAAAGTGCTTGAGTTCTGCACAGGTGCTGAGAGCCTCAGACCCTCTGCCCCAAACCTTCCGGTCTGGCCAGGGCTGCCCATCTTTCCTGGCTGCCCTGGTGTATGGGGAAGGTTGGCTCTGCACAGTGACACACCGAGTGCCCCCTGTTCACCATGGGCGTGGCCAGTGAAGCCTGTGCCCAGTCCCCACTCGCAACCTCAGAGCTCGCTGTGCGCGCCCGAAGTCGGAGCCTGGGCGCGTCTGGGCGACTTCTCCCGCTGGTTCACCATTGCTCTAACCCTATGGTTGAGACCACTGGTTTTTAACCCTTATCACTGAAATCCTTTCTAAAACTAGGCCTGCGGCCAGGAATGGTGGCACACACCAATAATCGTGGTGCTCTGGGAGGCCGAGGCAGAAGGATCAGGAGTTCAAAAAAATAGATTATGCCGAGCCTGCATAACTTGGTGAGACCCTGTCTCAAAGTAAAAA